CCCAAGAGAATGGGGAGACAATTATGCACAAACAAAGCTCCCGTAGTGAAATGAGCAAACAAACTGAGAAAAAAAGCAAAGCCAGGGAGATGAAGGAAAACATGAGATCAAAACTAAAGCAAAGAAAAAAAAGAGCCAAATCAAATGGAGTCCAAGGCACATAGCGCGACCGTCTGGAACGGCTGCGGCTCTCAAGGTCGCCTTCGTTGTTTGGAACAAAAGTGTGGTGACATGGGGCTAGGTTTTTGTGTGTGAGTGAACTGTATAGGAAGGAGGATCTGACATCCAGTTTCAAAACTTGCATGTGATGGAGAAGGCACACTGAGGTTTCAAGGTTTTTTCCTCTGTTTCCTATAAAAAAAATTTCACCGCATTCTCAACTTGATTTCATTTTACTTTATACTTGTTGCTTTTTGGAAAAAAAAAGTAATGTTTTTCTTTTACAAATAGAATCGTCTTATTCTTTTTCATCAATTGTTTTTGAGAAAACAAAAATATGCTTTTTTTTTTTTCTTTCTCCATTTGCTCAGTTAAAAAGTCTTAGCCGATGAAACAGACGGGCCCCACTTCGAATCCGAACTTCTGCGTGGGGCCGCCAAAATCGTTGAACATGACGTCCACAAATGGCACCTGTTCCACCTTTGGTGTGTTGATCTCAAGTACTGTCTTTTCATAGCCCTTTTTCAGCTGTCAAAGAGAAAAGACACAGTGGGGTTGAAGAATCAGTGTGCGGAAAATATTCTTTTCAAAAAAAGAGAAAGAAACACCGCACACACACACATTTCCTGGACTCCTGCTCACGCAACGACTACAAAGATACTCAAAGCATAACTTTCCAACAGTTTCCATCAAAGGAACCCAGCTTACCTCCCAAAAAACACACACCCACACTTCCCTGACTTACCGCACAGCCATCAACTAAGGCGCGGATGTAGGGGTTGTTGTCATAAGACATCTCCTCATCGTTGGAGCCCAGGAAGCGGATGGCCTTGTCATAGTTGTCCTGCTCCTGGTCGTGCCATGCCACCGATTGGTAGCAGTTGTATGTCATGTTCTGCCTGGCTGCTGCGCTCAACAGCCGCAAGAAAGTCATCTGGACCACACCGATGGGATTGCCCTCGGCATCCACATAGGAAAGCTGCAAAAAGAAGACATTTCCATGTTTACACCATGCAGTTTCCTCTGTCACCTGGAAGCATTTTTTATGTGTTGACTATTGAAAATAGTCAACCAGACAAAAAACTTGATGTGCCATTAATATATAATATGACTCAGCATATAGACCTAGTAGAGCAGTAAGGCTGGCATTCATCAAAATTAGTAATAAAGACCTAAACCAAACAATGCTAATGTCAGTCTAATACTAAAGACTTTTCATTGTTTATTACCTCCACCAAGAAAGTTTTGTTTTTTAGGCGTTCACAAATATGTCGTTCTTTCTGTCTGTAAACGTGATAGCTTGAGAACTCTTGAATGAATTCTCATCAACCTTTGTAGCGGTGTAGAGTGGACTAATGTTAACAGACCATTAATATTTGTCTTACATCCAGGTTGTCAAGGTCAGCTTCATGATTGATTGGTTGGAAATTGAGGAAATTAACTTGATTTAACTATGATTCTTTCAAGTTTGGTGTATATTATCAATATGCAAAAAGGACCAAGCTTTAAAATGTCACATCCGACCTCTGACCTTTCCTTCAAGTTCAATAGAGTGATCTGAAGGTCAATGTGATAATTATGATATATAGAGCAGTAAAACTATGTTTCTTACTGCCATTGTTTGTATTGATAACATCTAGGCATATAGGGATTCAAAATATCACAATACTTTGGATATCTAACCTCTTCTTCAAGTTCAAATAAGGTCAAACTTTCATTAAATCCCTTTTATCTTCAAAACTTTGCTAAAAAATTCTATTGCCTTTGTTTTTATTGCCAACATTTAAGAAATTACACTGTCATATGGGAATTATAAATACTCTATTATAGTTTGCATTTCAATATCATGTCACATTTGACCTCTGACCTCACTTTTACATTTCACATCAGCCTTTCTTTGAAGCTGACTCCAAAATGTGGGATAAATTTAAAAAACAACTGTCAAGTTAGTCATAAGTATACTGCAGTATAACATTATATAATGAGCTCAAGTTATAAAAATATCTCCCCAAAATGCTGACTTTAACTAATTTAATTAAATGTAAATTTTCCTTGTAATTTTGTTACATAAGTACAATGCAAATTTAATGAAATCTGGTTCAATGAAATTCACTTGATTGGTACACATTCAGTTTGTACTGAGCACATTTTCCTTAATGATTAATTATTTGAATAATAAATAAAAAAATAAAACTTTGACTTGATATATTTCAGAAACATTTTACTCAAAATTACTGCCTCGTGTGTTTCGAGAGTGAAGAAATCTTTTTTTAAACTATTTCAGTTATTTACAAATCATGACCTACTCATACATATTGTTTGTGTAATCAAAGTAAGCATCTATCATGCTACCCTTACCTATTTTGTTACTGCACTACAAATTCATTAAAATATGTTTAAAAAGAAAAAAGAAACAAAAAATGTAAAATGTGTAAAAAAAAGAAAACAAAAACAGCAACAACATTAAACATGGCGCCTAAAATGGAACCAGTTGAAGAGCCCGTGCAATTAGTTTACTGACAGCGTCCTCTTACAATCAACAGGCTACTTATGTGAGACCTGCGGCACATCTTTATATGAATAACAGACCTGACCTTAATTTAGATGTTAATTTGGCCCCACCAATGTATGAACGTCGCAAACACAAGTGCGAGAAGAACAATGGAGAACTAATCTGTCTCTCCTGTTCTACGCCTTTTGAAGGCTTGTTTTTTTAAATGCTTTTCAGCAGCACTTGACAAGCTGACTGGGCAATACTCCAGGTGTGACAGAACAACATCAATCATAACAGAAGCAGGAACATACACGGAGCATTTCCTCAAAATAGCAATGCCCTTTCCCATTTTGGAGACGATGAAATATCAAACCAAGACAGGGGGTAATTTAGTTTTTAGTGACCTATTCAGCTGAAATCCCATCTTTGGACAGGTGAAGTGCCTTGACATTACCAAGAACAACCTTACTACCGAATACCATATGTTTAAATCTTTGCAAAAACAGTCCGGAATACAGAGCTGTCGTTTTTACTTTAAGTTCTTAGAGCATCTGTGTTGTGTAGTTTTATAAGAAAAGATCAAAAAGCACATATTCAGCTGCAGTTCAATACACATTTAGTACAATTTTGAGTGTTTATAACAGCATCGCTATCAGGCGTTAAACACACTGTGCTTATTAGTGCTGTAATTCATTGTTGGTTTGGGTCTTTAATGAAATCTGCTGACAACGAATAAAAAATTTAATTACCAGCCTTATCCTTAAGTAACGTACAAATATGTGTAAATTTTTAGAAGAGGAGGATAAGTGCAGAATATTTCCAAGGCCTTATGCCCGGGAGCTGCACTGATGTTCAAGGCTTAATGCGGAACAAATCTACCTTCAAAGTATAAAAAATAAGCATAACTAAAGAGCTCATTTAAATCGTAATTGTGTGATTATGTAAAATATATAAGCGATACGAGCAAATTATGGTAAAATCATGAAAATGTATTCTCGTAATAGGAACTATGTGGCAGTAATGATATGTTAATTGCTTGCTAATTAGCCTATAATTAACCCAGCATCCCTGCTTTTCAGGCTCATGTTACAAGAAGGAAAACAAAAAGTCGCATTAAGCTGATTATAGTAATCCTGACTGACTGACAAGACAGCAGATTTTGGAAACAGTTGTATTTCATTTTAATGTCCGTAAATGACTATTTGCATACCAACCAGCAGGAATCCATTAGATCCACATGGTCACTTTGTCTTTCAGACAAACAGGACTTACTGAAGACTCATGCACATGCGGATCCCTTCCATGCAGCCAGAGCAGCAAACTGTCTGTGTGTCTGTTCGTCTATTACCACTCATTCTTCCACGTAAGCGAAAGTCCATGCACACACACATGCATATAAAGAGCCCAGAGTGCCGACACTTTGACTTGACGCAATCTCCAGCTAATAATGAGGATAAATGATCTAATTTGATTTTTTAATTATGAATATATTTTAAAAATTTAAGACTGTTTCTCTGTAATTTATGACTGTGAGTGTCGGCACTGTGGCTCAAACTGTGGCTGAGCAGGTCCGTGCTTTTCTCATTTACCCCACCACTCGTCATCCCCTCCCTCCCGCCCTGACCCGTACAGCGCGTGGATCCAGCCTGGCATCATCATAGGCACATTACCTCTTTATCATCACAGTCGCAAGTCAACAGTGACTGAGTACCCAGAGGGCCCCTGGGTTGTGACTGAGTGCCTGACCCATTTGACTCAGAGGTACTCTCCAGTGTTTAAGGGAGAGAATGGGAATGTGAGTGCAAGCTGAGAGAGAATGACACTTGTGTTTTGCCATTTGTGGAGGACAGATGCCCTGCTGAGGCAAGAGCTTGTCGAGACCACAAAAAAACAATAACAAATGTGTAAGCGATGCATTCAGTCTGAGACGTTTTGTCCACACTAATAAATCAACTATCAGTGGATGAACTAACAGAGCCGTGGGATTGTCAAGGCACACAGTCACTCTTTAAAGATGCTCTCTTAATGTAGCAGAGGTATGACAAGAATTTTTACGCACATTGTTTTCCTTTTTTTTTTGACTAAATATGTTTCTTCACCAGATTCCATTTCTTGCTTTGAATGGTCCACAAACCTCTCCTCCATTTCCGTGTAAGAGCATCCGACTATGTCGTTGGACTGAAGGTGAGTGCAGCTCATGCTGAATCATGCAACTCAATAACGAAACAACCAGCAAGCGAGGAGCCAGTCGATACATACTTCACAGAACCAGAACCATGCAGAGCCTCAGGTACACGGAGTCCAGACCTGAGCCAGGACTCCAGGACCGCGGGCAGCAACACTTACCAGGGAACCTCTCTTGTAGTGACTATACCATGTGCCTGGCGAGTCTTTGGGCCATTTTGCCATTTTGCTCTGTAAAATATAAGAGGCATTCAGGGAAGGGAAAGGGACTTGAGAAAGTCGGGGGTCTGGCTTACCAGTTTACCACGTTTGAATTCACTGAACCAGGAACCGGGATTCTCCTTTAGCCAGGAAGTGAGCCTAGCCTGGGGGCATGGATCGACAAAGAGGAAGAGGATGGAGGAGGAGGAAAAACAGCAGTGTTATAAGAAAAGGAAACAAGATCCGACAGAAATCCCACATCCCCTCTCAGCTTTGTTCTCTCGCCTTCTGTTTGTCCTCTGAGGAGTCTTCCAAAAACCTGAAACAGTTTCGCAGTGAGACCGACCGACTGGACCAGGGAAGAAGATTTTTGTAAGCCATTATGCTATTTTGTACTGTACACACTGGGGCTGGTAGCTAATTGCTGCTGAAAAATTCATGAGTACACAGTGATTAATTAAGAAATGATCGCAGGCAAGGAGCTTTGATAGTGGGGGCCTCCATCCCTGCTGCTCGGTGTCAGCGCCGTGCAGCCATGGTGCACTAACTTTGTTACGCCATTAAAAGCTGTGAACTGGCCAACGGGGGCACAGCTCTAATGGTCTCAGCCATGACAATGATGAATTTCTCTATAATTAGAGAGCAGGGTCTGATACGGGGCTGTCATCAATGGCTTAATGCGTTAATGAATGATGGGCCGGAGATCGCTTATCGCTGGGAGATGGCACACATTAGACCCACGCTGCATCCAAGGTGACCTTCACTTTTTTTTGCCACGGTGCACAGAGTGGAGGAGAAAATTCAACCTTGAAGGCAGCACTATCCCTTTGAGGATCTTACAAAGCGTGTGCTCTCGTGACCACTGCGCCCATCTCAAAACGCACATGGGAGTGTTTGGATGTCTGAAAGCAAAAAGACAGACAACGCGGGCTTTTCTTTCTCACAGCCCTGACACGAATGAGAACAGCCCATCACCAGCGCGCTATAAAAAGTCTGCTTCATTATTCCGAGCTTAGGCAAACTCCCGCTCCTCTGAGGCTTGGTGAGTGGGATCATTAAAATGGCTGTAGCGCGCCGCTATTACACAACCCCCGACTCGTCAAAGACAGTGTTCCCAATGTTTCACCACTCCGCTGTGCTACACTCCTTCACGCACTCATGCATAATGAAGCAAAAATCTTCTCACCTGCCAAAGGCTTTTATGGGTGATAAAGTCCTTAATGTCATTCTATCTAAAAATGGTTCTGAAACAACAGAGTGAATGTGAGCGCTTGTCTCGCTGCAGGACTAAAAGGAGACTTTTGCACGCAAGCAAAATAACTCGGTCCCTCTCGTGGGATATGCAGGAGGAGTCCTGGTGAATCATCTCCCACATCTTCTTAGAAGCAACACACTGGCTAATCTCGCGGAGGCTAATTATACGGGTAAATACATTTACTGTTGTATATAGTGTTGCTTTGGCATGCTCAGGTTAGTCCCAAATGTGAAGGGTAAAAAATTTAAAAAAGCTTATCGAGAGTGCTCGGCTCACATTACCCTTGCTGTCAATCTTATCACCAAAATAGACGATGAAAATAGCAAAGATTTTGTTTTTTGTTGTTTTTTTAAGGCCCAAACTTTCTGTTTACTGTGTTGTCATCTCATGTTGTGCGATTGCATTGCTTGTATACACACAGCCAGACTTACCCCTCCAGACTTCTTATCTGGGAAGATGCAGCTCTCGCCGCTTGCTGTGAAGTTGCAGTAAACCTTGAAGGAGTCCCGGGAGCAGCCCTGGTTTGGATCAATCCAGTACTCACCTGGACAGATAAAGGAAGGGAGAAGACACACAAAAACACACCCACGCACACACACACGGATGGGAGAGAGAGAGAGCACAGAATATATAATTCAATATATATATATATAGTGTTTCATCGAGGTCAAGGTAAGGCCAGACACTGGGTGTGTCGTGCCTCTGTGTTTACATCTTCAGTTCACATTAAACACATTCTAAACTGTGGGTGTTTTTCTTCTAAATTAGCATTGCTAATAAATGCATAACTCATTATTTAATTTCATTATTTGATCCTATTTTTTAAGGTTTTGGCTTCGTTTTAACAGCTGCCAAAGCAGACAGCGATCAGGAAACTGGAGCAATTAGAGGGAATTGAACCTTGGATGTTGTGGTTATGCGGTATGCACCTCACTCATTAGCACGCCAGACGTCCCAGATGGTTTATCAAACATTCATTTTTGAAAAGTAAATCCTGCTGTTTGATAACATCATCACCTAGAGATGGATGATGCACCGAGAAGTGGAAAAGTACTTTGTTTACTAATTAATTAGTAATTAACTAGTCCGTATGTGAGCAATTGCAAGTGTCACGCTCCTGTGACGGATACACTGCAGATATAATACGCCTCTGTATTACAAAACAGAATTAAACAGTGATTTATATTTGGACGTATGTTTGTGACTAACAATTATTTTCATGATAAATAAATATTAGAAAAACACAGGAATGCGATGGCTTGTTTTGTCCAGTCAACACATTCAAATATGAATAGAAAAAGGTTTTTAATCTGCAGGCAGATTAAGAAAAAATTACTTAATTTAATGCATTGTTATATTATTAATTTATTTTTGGTTTTTGTTTTGTTTTTAGTTGTAAGCATCTTTCGGATTTATTCATCATGACCCATTATTAAAGGCTGGGTTTAAGTTATGCAGGGCACATGACTCCCTGTATATGTTACAATATAGAAATAAGGGGTGACAAGTATATCCACCCCTGGAGCCCAGATGTGCATGTTGGGGTGGTGGAGGGGTTAAAAGAGCATGTAGTGAAACAGGAAATATTGAGTCAGGCTGTATTCTTCTTTTTTTTGTTTGTTTCACCATTAACATTACATACCCGATTTGTGGCCAGTAACACTGACTTTCTACAAACATTTCTAGCTAGCTGTGTTTGATTTTGTTAAAGTTTAAAAGGCGTAAAGAAAGAGGATTAAACAAAGCACCAATTTGGGCTAAATGTAACACGAACCATCAGGGAAATCAGGGTGGCAGAGCTGCAGGTCCTTGCAGGTACGTGCAGGGTTGCCCTGGGTGCCCAGTGGGTGCTTCATCTGCTCAATCTCCAACTTAAGAGAGTTAAGTGAGCCAAAGATTTCCTCCATGCCATCATCATAGTCTTTATAGTTGGCATCCATAGCTGCATCGTCCACCATCTGGCTGGCATCGATGTTCCTACGTGATCGGCCCTTAATAGGAGCCTGGATGGGGAGTGGGTGGATGACATCACCAGGAGGTCCCTTTTATGGAGAGATGACACGAGAGGAGACAAATGTCGGTTACTGTCAACCAAAATTATAATGACTGATTTCGTCATTTTGAATTTTACTGCTCAAAAAGTAGAGCATCTACTTACAGGAGGGCCAGGAGGTCCAGGTGTACCAGTCTCTCCCTTTGGTCCAGTTTGACCCTGAGCAGGACAAAATGAAACCAGCGGTTCATCTTCGTAAATAAGTGTCATGATAAATGCTTGCGTTTTTTTGCAGCTTTTGCTTAATCACTTACCGATGAGCCTTTAGCTCCTTTAGGACCCGGGGGACCCTAAAAACACAGAGACAATCAAGTGATCAGTACTGGCTCAAACATTACATCATGAGTCTATAGTAAGACACACGTGCTAAGCTTACAGGTAATCCAGGGGGGCCAATGGGACCAAGTGGACCCGCAGGACCAGCAATACCCTGAAAGAAAAGAGAAATTGCAAATCGATAAATGTTGTGTGCCAAGGAAAAAAAACCCTTCTTTATTCCTAAAGCAACAGTATTGACTAGTATGAAAGATATTAACACCAGTGGTACCAATTTGCTCTTGCTAAATAAGGAAGATCAAACAAAAGTCTGTCAATAGCTAGCTAACTAATGGCACAAACTGAGCTGCTGTTCAAAAATGTAGGTGCAGTGTTGTTTACTCACATTGTCTCCTTTGGGACCAGCTGATCCAGAAGGACCAGGAAGGCCTCTGTCACCTTTCTCTCCCTGTTCACCTGGTGGTCCAATTAAACCAATAAGACCTGGATGGCCCTGAGCAAACAGAACAACACAAGCACATGTAATCAAAGCAACATTTAATGAGACACGTTCCAATCAGAGGAGTAAGAATTTGATGGTCAGTGGAAAACAAAAAACTAAAAGGAAAAAACAACTCAGCAATCACTAAATTGGTTCCTGAAGTAGCTCACCTTTTCTCCTTTGACACCAGAGTCTCCTTTCAAACCAGGTAAGCCAGGTGGGCCCTGTGAGAAAATGTAAGCTGTCAGATCCAGTCGCACATTATATGAGGCATGGCAATACAAGTTATTTCTACTCACCATAGGTCCGGGAGGTCCATCTGGGCCTGGGGCACCAGGTAGACCTTGTTCTCCCTGCAAAAATATTTGTAGAGTTTTTTTAACCCCACTTCACAAGAAAACCAGTTCCTTTTAATATTCTGGATTTATTTAGCAAATTAGCGAATCATATATGCTGTTTAACCTGTTAGCAGTCGGACGTACCGCCCACGGTACATTGGATGGTTTAGGGGACTAATTGTAAATTTGTAGGACTGCTAAGGGGTTAAACAAAACCACACTACATAAAGGTATGACAGTGATGAATCGCTGCGAGGCTGAGAAATAAGATACTTACGACAGCACCAGGGATTCCCCTGAGACCTTCAGGACCTGGCTTTCCGGGTGATCCTTGAGGACCAACGGGACCTGTTTTTCCAGGGGGACCTTCTAACCCAGGCTCTCCCTTTCACACAGGAAAATGATTCACACGAAAACATTTGATGTTAGCTCATTTGTTAGGTTGTTTTACTTACACAAATTTTTTTTTGTGTTTTTGGATGAATTACCTTGCCTCCCTTCTCTCCTTGTCTTCCCTCAGGTCCTGCAGGTCCAGGAGGCCCCTATTTAAAAAATAAAATAAAATAAATTAAGCAACTTTTTAACATTTTCACAAGGATAGGAGTAAGACAGTGCAGGGCAGCACTTACTCTCTTTCCTGGTGGTCCAGCAGGACCAGATTCTCCAGTTGGTCCAGGTGAACCCTGGTTTAAAAGAAATAATTCAACATTGAAAAGACTATTTACATTTCTCAGTAATGACATGCAGCAGAGTGGAAAAGAAAAAATAACACTCACAGCCTGACCAGCCTCTCCATCATCGCCCTTGTCACCCGGTAAACCGTCTAAGCCCTGTATTGGAATTGAAGAGGGTCTCAGTCATGATGTTTTGCAATAAAAAGTGCATAAAGACTTAAGTTTGGATGGTTTATTCACAGAACAGCTGCCATACGTACAGCTGGACCAGGCTCTCCAGGGGGGCCGGGGTCACCAGGGAAACCACTTGGACCCTGAAAATGAATAAAGTTACATTTTTTGTTTGTTATTTTTTAGACATTTACTTTTAAGCAACTATGATCGTCCTCTGCTTAATGACTTATGTTGCAAAGTGTATTTTAATAAAAAACCTGGAACAGAACTTACTGGGCTGCCTTTTGGACCATCATCTCCTGGGGGTCCCTTAGGGCCTGGAGGTCCAGCAGCACCAGCCGGACCAGCCTCTCCCTTCTCTCCTCGTTCTCCTCTTGAACCCTATAATAATATGCAGCATGTTACCAGTGCAATTACTTGTATAAGCTAGAATTCAGAGTTGCTAGTGTACAACATGAGGAAAATGGCCTGTGGAAGATAAATACAATCTCTTTTTAACATCATGGACATTATAGATAAACTCTTTGTTGTGTTTTTTTTAATAAAAATGAAATGAAATAGACTGAGATAACTCACTGGTGGGCCAACTTCTCCCTGAGGGCCTGGCTCTCCTGTTTCACCGGTATCTCCCTGAAAGAGGTGGGCAACAAGGGGTATTAGTAGGTGAGAGAGAGACATACATTACAAGTAAAGTGATTTGTTGATCTATTGTGGTTCTAAAAATCCCATAATTTACTGCAGCCCCTCACTGTCCCAGTGTCCTTGTCACCAAAAATGGGAATAGAAAGAGATGGCACAAGAGATTTCAATTCATCAAGTGCAGGCAGACTGGGTGGCAGGAGCAAGGACGGCACTGACCTCACTGTTCTCCCTGGACCCTGCCCATATATCTTGTCCTCTTCCTTTTGCCTTATTGCCCTGTTGACTCACCTATATGCCAAGCACTATCGTGATTCACTGCCATATGAGACTACTGTCCTCCCTACTGAGGTCTACCACACACGTGTTCAGTGGAAGAATATTAGCCCATGTCATGTTTGGGAGACAAGGATGTCAGTTGATGGCACAGCTCTGCAGAGCCAACGACAAGCTGCACAGTGACTCGTTATGATAAGCATATCCAGATTCCCTCTAGCATGAACAATGGCTCTGTGTTGTGAACATCAACTGATACTCTAAATTAGTGTCTGGCTGTTTTCCAAAATCTGCCTCCATGCTGTCAAGAAATTCCCTCTAAGCAGCTGGTATGGCTGTTTACAAGCCTCACTGATCCGCCTGTATTAGCGGCGTACGCTGCTGTTTTATGCAATGCTGCGCCTCCGAAGCCCTGCAGAGGCCTTGACTCCATTCTTATGATGACCTTCACTAAGGACTGCTGAGAATAGGAAAACCAGGAAAAGGCAGCTGCTCATCACAGACACAGTGAGGGATGTGTTTACCAAAAAAAGGCCAGGACTCTGTCGCTTGGCAGCTCCCTGGGCTGGATAATAAAATGCCAGCTCAGCTGACGCCCGATTAGCCCAAAGACCGCTGTGTTTGCTTGCACAGAAGCAGGACAGGCTATCCTCGGGGAGATTAGAAAGGAGCAAGAGGTGATTCTATTGACCGAACCAGATAAAGCAAATTATACCATCACCCCGGACAGCAAGCGCTGAAAAACAACAAAAAAACTGCCCAGCGCTGCATTCCAGCGGCTGCAAAAACTACCAAAGCATGATGAAGCAGCAGCAACAAATGAAAGCTGTAGCCGCCTTTAATAATGCATTTATCTTCTTAGAATTGCAGTAAGATCTTTTTGACAATTTATTTATAATCTCTCCACCCCAGCAGCAGGCTACTGTCGGGAATGACACCCTGTCCATTCGATTTGGCGTGCATCTGTCACTCTCGAGTAGGAAAAAAACATCCCTAATGGTATCATATAAATAGGCATGTGAAATATTAATAGCTGCAAAAGCCTTTCAAGAGGTATCAGTCTTTGTATAAAACACAACCCAAACAAACTGCTTAGCACAATGAATCTGACTTTTTTAAGTTCGCTTCTCCAAGTTAAAACTTTTTCTCTATGACAGGTGAGTCTGAAAATAAACATACCCAGCACCGCAAATATATCTATAACGGAGGAATTGTTCGATCGTCAGGAGTCTAAACAGCTGATATGAATGTGTCATATCAGAATTTCAACTCATTAAATATTGATTATGTTATCAGCCTCAAAAGTCCCACTACTGACGGGACTAATCAAACTACATTATACACATGAATGGTTGAGTTTCCGGCTAAAATCATTCCATCAAAAAAAAAAGAAATAGAAAAAGAGTTTTACCTTTTCTCCAACAGCACCAGGGTTTCCAATACCACCGGGAGGTCCCTGAGAACCGTCGGCTCCCGGGGGTCCTGAGGGACCTCTGGGACCAGGGGGACCTGGTGGACCCTGTAGGCAACAAGCAGAGCCACCTCAGTTTAAGAAATGGAATTCATCTTCATGCTCCTTGTAGTGTAAAGGTGCTCAATGATAACACAGTCAGAATGTGCACAAACCAAGCTCTTACCATTTGACCAACATCTCCAGTTTCACCTTTCTCGCCAGGTGGACCAGGTAAGCCCTGAAAGGTTAAAAAATTATTTAATCAGATCTTTCTAAATAAAACCATGGTTGAAGTTTGCTTAATACTCTAGTTCGCACCTGCAGACCAACTGGGCCTGGAGGTCCGGGGAATCCTCTGGATCCTTCATCTCCTTTCTGGCCAAACATACCCTGCTGACCTCTGGGACCAGGCTCACCATCTGCACCCTGCACAGCAGAAGAGATAATGAGATAATGAGAGTCAGTCTGCTAACACATAGATAAGGCACTGAATAATGTGAACACATAGCTCAAATTGGACACTTACAGCAGGACCCGGTGCTCCAACAGGTCCTTGAGGGCCAGTAGGACCGGGTGGACCCTGCAGTTGGGGACATGAAAATGCGTAATTTTGTCTGTCACTCAGTATTTAAAATTCATGTATCAGCCTCAGAATTCTAGAAAGCAAAACAATGACTAAATGATGTGTTTTCTACAGACAAACTTACATGTTCTCCTTTGTCACCCTTACTTCCTTTCTGGCCCGGCTCTCCAATCTCTCCCTGTGAAGAGAGCATCAAAGCGTGAAACAAAAAAATAGCCAGTGGTATGCACATAAAAGGAAAATAAAAGTTTGACAATGAATATTCTTAACAATCTCTAATTTGCCTGAACTGTCCTTCCTTTCAAAAAAACATTGTTTTGTACCTTTAGATCTGCCTATAGATATCTCAATTACATCACTCCTTCTCTAAAAAATATAATTCACTTCTGAAGTGGGCTTATTGTGATGGCTGACTCAGTGACAGAACAAGCAGCCAAAACAGAATATATTATGACTCCCATCAGAACCTGTTTAAACCAGAATATACCAACTGAAGAACCTTGTACTTTGTTCCCCCCAAATGCCTGTGTGGGTGTTAAAAATAATGCTAATAACCACCAAAAACCAAAGGCATTTACTTTGGTGTTTGAATCAGAAAAAGCTCTTTCTGTGGTGGCTTTAGTCTCCTAAATAAAGGCCTTGGACTTATCCATTCCCTGTGAGCTGGGCTTATAATGAGAAAGTGTCTGAATGTATGTAAACATTATCTGGCAAGATCGTTTTTTATCTGCATGGCAAATACCCTCTGTATTCTCTTTGTCCGTTTACACCACGGGGAATGTTGTAAGGCCAGTTAAGAACTGAGGCATTCTTCAAAGGATGAGAGATTATCCTCTGAGTATTTCTGCAGCTGATCTTCCTGCAAATGTTTTAGAAGGGATGAGCAGTTGCTTGGATCTGAATACTAAAGGGTCACTTTCACCCATCCTGTCGCTGCCTCTCTCTCTGTGTCTGTTTGTAAAGATGGGTACAAAGCAGCAACAAGGCCAGTTCTCCTTTTAAGGATCTGTTAATCGATGCAAACCCTGTCAGACAAATTCCCCTCACAGCGTTTTAAGGTCACAGAGAAAGAGACAAGAGGGTCTGGCTGGGAGCCCAATTGCAAAGTTTAGTGTCTAGTTTAGGCCTGTGCGTACACAGAGAGACACAGATTGTGAAACAACAACTGCTCAAAAACCAAAAAAAGAAATTTAAGTGCAGCTTTATTAAATTGCATTATATTTTTCTTCACGTGGATACAAATAAACCAAAAATACTATTGTACCTTGTCTCCGTCCTCTCCAGGTGGGCCAGGAGGTCCTCCAGGTCCTGGCAGACCAACAGGTCCCTGAATACCATCTCTTCCAGCTGGACCTTGAGGTCCTTTCTCTCCCTAAAGTAATGATTGTTGACATAGAGCAACATTGTGTTTGTCAGTGAGACAAAAATGTGCAGTGTAGCCATGCTATTCTTACAATGTGGTGCTCTTACCGGTCCACCTTTCTCTCCAGCAGGGCCTGGAGGTCCCTGGGGGCCAGAGCGTCCTGGGAGACCTGTAGGTCCTGCTGGCCCTGCAGGACCACGCTCACCAGGAGAACCCTACAGCAGTACCACACACTGTGTTATTAGCTAGCTGGTAGCTAGTTATCGAAATAAGACACCATTAATATCAAAGATATCCAACACAGGAAACTAAAGCATAATATCAGGCACATCAAATAGGTCAGACCTCCCTTATGTAAGTAGCAAACAGTGCATATCATTATATTATATAAGGGTCTGGAATAGCTGAGGGTAGGAACTTTACTATGAAGATATCAGAGATGCAGAGAGAGTACAGAAGGTGAGAGTGACAAAGTGGGGATACGGATGCGGTAAATTGTACTCACAGCAGGGCCAGGTGGGCCAGGAGGACCCTCATTCCCTTTCAGGCCATGAGCTCCCTGCAGATGAGAGTGAAATAAAGGCCTCAGAAAACAAACACATCTGTTGGGGAAGCACACATTCTACCTTACACTGCACTCCTTATTTGCACAGAGGCTCAGCATGAGATGGAAAGCCTTCTATAGATTCCAAAGTGAAGGTTGAGAGTTGAAGGGGAAAACAGTTTGGCAAAACTGCAGCAAACACCCAAAGGAGCTAGTGCATCACATAAAGTCTGAATCCTAAGGTTAATGAAAAGGCTTTGTAATAAAATGGCATGAAGAAAACAGTATAAGTTGCGTAACTACCAGGACACGACTTTGTCAAGTTAGAATTATTTGAAAAAGATAGAAAAATCAGCCAAGAGCAGGCTGTTCCTTTACTGACGAGTAGATCTGATATCATCTCCATTTCTTGAGGTTTACCGCATTCTTACAGAAATTTAATAGTCCAGAACTATTATGCAATAACCAAGCTGTGAGTGATATTGATTTTGTCACGAGGCTTTAAACAAAGCAGAAGGCAATACTAACCACAGGACCAGGCAGACCTCTCTCTCCAGGGAAACCTCTTTGCCCAGGTGGGCCATCTTTACCAGACGGGCCAGCAGGGCCAGGATCACCCTGTAAGTGAAATGGGAAACAAATACGAGCTTTGTAGTTACATACATGTATTTTAATTAGCTGACAGTGTTTAAAAAAAGTTTACTAATAAATAGAACATCAAGTTTCACCTTGGCTCCTTCTTTTCCTGCAGCTCCAGGCAGACCTTGCTCACCAGGTGGTCCCGGGGGTCCAGGGTGTCCACGTTCTCCCGTTTGTCCAGTCTCACCTGTTGGTCCCTAGAATTGAAAATAAATAAATATATCCCATTCAACACTAAAGTATAAAACCAAGTTACAGAGGAAGTGTGAAAAGAGGGACAAAGCAGAGAGCAAAATCAGCAAATTAACACAAAAATGATATAACAATTTTTCCATTTATTAGAAATGTGGCGAGGAAAAGCTGAACATTTGCTGTGTGGGAGGCTTACTAGTCATTAAAGCCACATACAGCTTCATTATTATGAACGTCCTCAGCCGGCATTAGCAGAACGGCTGGGAGGAAAAGTCTGTTAAACATTTATGCATAATGGATGAAGAGCCCATTGCAAATATGAAAGAGGATAAACAACACTTAAGTCGTGGCTCTTGAGATATAGGTAAGAGGAGCTAAATCGATTTTCATTCACCGAGCAAAATGCTAAGAAAGCATTCCAAATGACAACTTATAGGTTTCTATTGTGCTTCTGTGTGTGAAAGGTTTGCAATTCTGCAAGAGCCTAATTTTTCGAAAAACAATGCAAATGCATATTTAATTATTTTTTGTAGGAAATTGATAGCTATTTGTTTGCGCACAAAGGAATACAGTGAACAAAAAGCTGTGCGTCAATGAAGCAACTAAGAGAAACACTCAATGGCTGTCACTCACCTGAGGTCCAACCACTCCTGGAGGACCAGGAGGGCCTGTTTTGCCTTGGAATCCCTGTGTATTATAAAAAGGAAATAAAAGTCATAAAGTTGCCTCAGTGGATGTAGATATAAGATAAAGAGTTGAATAACCAAAGCACAGCACACTCACAGTTTCTCCTCTCTGTCCAGGATGTCCTGGCAATCCGTCTTTCCCTGCAGGTCCCTGAGAATTTCAAACAAATTAACCTGTTAGCAGTCGGACGTACCGCCCACGGTACATTGGATGGTTTAGGGGACTAATTGTAAATTTGTAGGACTGCTAAGGGGTTAAAGAATTTATATTAAAGGTCACACAGAATGGAAAGACAAAGGGCAAAGGTCATATTTCAGTAGAGTGTCTGGACTTACAGGGGGGCCCTTTGGTCCTGGGAAACCTGTTGGTCCCTGAGGCCCAGGCAATCCCTATAAAAATTTAAAAAGCACATAATTGAGTTAAGAATCGCGTGTGTGATCGAAACCTCTGCACGTCCCGAGAATAAAATGACTTCTGGTGATGCTGTTACGGTACGTACCCTCTCACCGGGAGGTCCCGGTGGGCCGTCATTCCCTGAGTTACCCTGGACACAAAAAATAAGGAATCAAATGTGAACATGTATAATGACATATTTCAGAAAGTGGCATTAAAATAAATACTAATACTCACCTTTGGACCAGCTTTTCCTGTCAGTCCTCTTGGTCCTCTCTCTCCTCGAGGCCCCTTAAGAAAGAAAGAAAAAAGCTTTTTAACAAAAAAAAAGTTTGTAAAGGATGCATGTGATCTGAAAAGCTTGGTTATTGTCTCAGTGTGGATTCCCCTTCGAGCACGCTCAGGTCGAACGGCCACTTTTACTCAGGTGCCAAGTTTGCCATCTGCATGGAAGCACGAGTCTGCTGAGTAAGACTAACCGTTGGTCCTCTCTGTCCGCGTGGGCCCGGCTTTCCTGCTGTTCCCTGTGGACACGAAGAACACACACAACGATCAAAGGAATGCCACTCACATTATTAAGATCCTGCATCCTCTGGAAGAATGACTCTAATGCCAGGAGACAGAAATGTTTGCAAGCACAATTGAGCCATTTATGAGCTCAGAAATAGTCTTTTTATAATAAAATAGGATTTACTGTAAAAAAAAAAAGACCATTAACATTTATCTTCACTTACATGTGAAGTCATTGCCACCTTGGAAAATGATATTTTAATAATCAATTATGCATGATATAGCAATTTTGCAGCAGTGTTACAATGACACTGGCTACATACAAATTTAATGAGGAAAACTATTAAATCTTTTATGTAGCTTTTTAAGTTTCAAACAAGTGTTGTGAAACTATCTTAATAGCTCTATTATCCCTTTCTGTCTCGGAGCTGGGTCTCATAAACTTTACAAATGTTTTGTGAAGATGACAAAGCTTAATGCGCCTTGCTCCACTCGTGTTGACAAACCATTACTCTTGCAGGCGAGCTAATGACCCATCCCTTCGACAAAAGAAAATGAAGCATTGCTCAAGAGCCACAAAGTGATAAACAAAGCTTTTGGGGTATCCAAATGAATTGTGCAAGTGGTAATGAAAAGCAATTGCGATGGTGAGCAATTGTGTCTCTGTTGCTTTGTGTTAGAGCCATGCAACTTCCACTAGGTTGATAAATCTGGAGCTGGGACGGGAGCCTGTCTCTGGCGGTACGCCTGTATCCAACCCTTGAGGGAATGAGAAGAATATCAAGAAGTCTATCTACATACATACCCGAGTTCCTTTCTCTCCATTGGCACCAGGGAAACCTTGGAAACCCTGGGATCCCTGTGTGTGAGCAAGAGAGCAATTAATCATTTGAGAAGCAAACACAGTCACTATATTCCTTGTTTATACCCTTGGCTTAATACATTTAACAGAAGACTGCATGCACACAAGTAACAGCATTCCTTTATTGCTATTGTATCAGCAACTGAAGGCTGACACCAAATAGCATATTCAAATCCCCAGCTCTTTGATCAGGAAGCTTCAAGCATGTCCGCTTGTCAGACTGCAGCTTTGCCTCAGAGAGGCTAAACGATGAGCCATCAAAAAGTTCAGCAAAAGCAGCCTGCACATGCACGTGTGTGTATTTTTTATTTTCCTCGTTCTCTTTCAAATACACACAGAAAAGCACGTTTTGGTCAGGTTAACTGTGTCTCTGTGAGTTCTAACATTAGCTTAAATTAAATTGTCAAGTAAGTTTAATAACAAGCAATGTTGGCCAAAGCAAGGAAATAAGACATAGTTTAAATTATTACACTGAATTAAAAGAAAGATAAAGTCACATTAAAGCACAATTAAAAAAAAACTGTTAAAAAAAAAAAGAAAGGCAATTATTTGAGAATAATTTGGGATTATTAACACCATACACTAAACAACTTACACGTAAGTAGACATAACCTGAAAAGGCTTATGAATGGAGGTATATTTTCAGCCACGAAAAAACTATTGGAGAGCTAGATGATCAGCAATTAAACCAACCTGACAGGCTCTGCAAATATGGAACTTAATAAAATAGTAAAAAGCAGCAGTCGACTGACCCTAACAAGTGTCACGCAAGTTCATGTGTCCATGAACACAGAAAGCTCTAACAGATAACACAGAGCTAACCCAGGGACTGGTGGTGAAATACTGTATGTTCATCTAGCGGCATCATTGGTTTCATTGGTGCCTCGCCCAAATTAACATACAGTAATTACTGTAACCGAGCACGGATATGGTAAAATCAGTAAATTAATAACAATGCTCTTTAGCAGTATAAATGCAATTACCTTTGGTCCTTGTCTTCCTGGGTATCCTGGCAATCCAGGAACTCCGAGTTTACCCTTTAAAAGAGAAAGATTAGTAAGTATACTGTTATATACGGTCCTGACAGGAGCTTATAAAAGTTTATCAAAAAGTATTTACAAAAATTAATTTACTACTTTTAACAAAAAAAACGACAAGGTTGAGCTCCATGAAACGATTCATCAAATTAAGAGACTTAATAAGGTTCCTGCTCTATGTAAAAATGTAAAAACTGAACATTTAACGCAGCATTTACTTAATCCACTGATCTTCTCCTGCCTCAAACCAAACTCCTTATTAGAGCCGTACCAAATTATTCCTCTTAATCCGTGACACCTGATAACCAGTGATAACCTCTTCTCATATTAAAAAGACAAGATGTTTCAGACTTTGAGAGAAATGTGTGCTTTTGGCATCTGCCAAATGCATGGCGATGATGGGATTATTTCAAATAAAATCCTGTAAAAAAAATGTAAATAAATGTTTTTAATTAAACATTCTCAAGCCAACAGAGGATTTCAATTGGCATCAAATTAAAACTTATAATTACAACGTCTAGTAAGAGTCTGTTGATTTATAATTTAATATTAACACTGTCTTTGCTATAGTACCTATAATCTACACATACATTATACTGTATATGAACCTTCTCTGTACCCAGCTGAACTACTACACTCATCTGAAGGGCAGCAGGACACTACAGCCACTACACAGAGGCTGCCAACTGTGTTTACTGTGATTAGCCAGGTTGCTACAGAGTAGCCGCAAACAGCTCTATATACATGAAGCACTCTGCTTATAAATCTCATCAATCCCGTATTCCACAGCCTCTATTTCAGCTATGTCTGTAGCAAAAGCAGTGTCTTAATTTTTTTTGATTCTTGCAATGCAAGAAGTATTTATAATGTTGAACACAAGATGTTTTCATGAACTACATAAACCAAAATAGCAGCACTTGTGAAGATGCCCACACAGTCTAAATAGGGTTTACGAGTTATCTACAGACTTTCTTTACCTCGCTGGTCTCCTAATTCCATGTACATTCCTAACTTAATGCAAGGAAAGAAGGCTGGCTCTCTCCCACAGTATGCTGTAAGCTCTTTGCATCTGTGAGTTTAATAAAAACTCTGTTATTCTAGCGAGTAACATCTCCATTAAAACGTGCAGAAACACTACAGCGGTATTTTTAGAACCGGATCAGTGTGTGGGGAAAAGCTGGTGTGAAGGCTATAATTAGGCATGAAAGAGAGCTAATGTGTGACCAAGATTCGGATGGATATCTGCTTTTTAAATTACACTGTGAATAACAAACACAAGTTTTGCCTGTCCTCACTGGATAAGGATTGGACCAGTCAAACAATTACTCTGCCTCTGTTTAAGTCAGTTTTTTTAAGAATCTCACCTTCTCACCACTTGGGCCAAGAGGACCAGCATCTCCTGGAAGCCCGGAACGACCCTTTGGCCCCTCGGGGCCATCTTCACCTCTGGGTCCTGCTGGTCCAAGTTCTCCCTGGAAAGCACAAGATGTAAAAAATACAAATGCCATTAGCCTGTATGGTAAACAAACAAACAAACAAAAACAAGGTACTTGAGCACATCTTTCCCCTCAGGTTTTGCAAAGATTATTCTATTGACTGTGCATTCACAAATTAGTAGCATCAGTGGGAATATTTTTCCACTCATATAGCTTTCTAAGGTGATTACAATGAATCTGGGTACTATAAGAGAGATCTGAAACAAGTATTTTGTTATGACTGGTATAAAAAACAGTTTTGCTCTCTATAGTCTATAGCTTGTTACCTTAATAAGCAAGATGCTTGCCTTTAAAGTGTTTTACTTCCTCTGAGGGAGTATATCAACTTGTATGTTTACTCATAGTTGCCATAGTTTATCTCATTTACATAATGTTTAGTTGGCTATTCAATCACTTGAGCGAAATGTCCTACAAGACTGGTAAGCGGTCACGTGCCTGCAAAACATCTATTAGCACTAATTAGCTGGTTGCTAACCAAGCTAGCTTGCACTTTTGGCAACTTAGACCTCCATCCTCTTGCACAAATATGGTCACTTTTTGCTCTATAACTTAAGAATGCTTTGCTTTTATTATTCATCGAAGAGATCAATCAATTCTTTGTTTATATTTCAAAACTGTTGTGAGTTAAAAGGTGCTTAAGGATGCTAATTTCTGTTGCTTCATCATTAAAGAAATTAGCTATTTTAATATTGCTTCTCTTTTTAAGTGTGCTTTCCTTCAAGCGGGACACATATTAAGTGACAGACTACAAACTCACTCTGACAGCCAGTCACTGTTGCATGAGACCTGGTGGTGTGTAAAAAGATATCTAGCTAAAGGCTTGCGCAGAGTTGAAGGCAAAGCCAGTGTGCTCGCACACCAGCACTTAAAACGGCATCAGACAAACTGTACTTGACTCACACTTGCAAGCTCATCAAACAGAACACTTTAAATTGAGCACACTCACACACTTTTCATAGGCACGCTTCAAAATGAGTCATTTACATTCCAGTCTATGTGCATCTCCAAAGCAGAGGGCCTCCTCAAATCTTTGCTTTCATCTGGATCTGCTGCATCTCCAGAGGAAAATAAGCCGGAGCCCCATGTCTCTCTCCCGGGTTTAAAGGGGTTTAAAGTGCCATTGATTTCTCCTTCCTTTCTATGCTCAGCTAGAGACAGCCTGGTCAGGGATTGGAGGGTTGATGTTTGAAGTATTGGCTTGTGCAAGTTATGTTTCTTACTGTAGAAAGCATTTTTTTCTTAAGACTTGACAGTGTAAATCCCTGAAGCACTTTGGAGAAAGAGGCTGTAGTCAGGAAAACCTGTCAAAGTCGCGCTTTTCTCCTAAAGTTATCGAGGTTAGGAGTGACTGGAAAGAGGCAATGGGGATGGAAAAGAAATTGGAAACTGCTCACATTAAAACAAACGCACGCACACAAACCGCTTGTCAACTGGAACAACACCTTATGTTTGCTCATTAGCCACAATTGTGCGGTAGTCACAGAGGCTTAGGCAATGAAAGTGGATAAAGTGACAGGAGTGGTTGCTCCTTTCACTTACTGTGGATAAAGGTCACCCTCACCCCCCCAATAAAACAAAGCTAGTTCTGAGTGCAGCACTTAAGAGTTGTTTCATTAATGTGATCATTTGAGTGATTCATCCAGCAGTCAAGTTTAAACAAACAAGCCTTACCCTGTCGCCTTTGATACCCATATCTCCCTTGAAGCCGGGGAAGCCGTCTTCTCCCTAGCAGAAGGATAAAGAAAACGATGTTGAAACCATTTGATTGGTATGCATGCAGAGATGATCAAATAAGTCCACACAACTTTCTTAGACATTTTTTAGCCGGCTGTTTGAATTCCTTTACCTTTTCACCCTTGTGTCCTTTAAGGCCACGCACACCGTCAGCTCCCTGTGATACAAGAACAGGCAGAAATTACAAACCAGTGGGGAGGATAACGGACGGCTACACTTTTTTAAAAACTTACAAGTAAATTGTGCAAAAGAGGATACTCTTTAGGATGGATTCATTTTCATTGTTTTGGTGTATAAATTAGCATACAAAGTTTCTTCCTTCTTGACCAATCTTTTCATCTTCCCTGAGAGCAGACTTCAGCCATGTAACAGGGGGACTATTAGCTACGAGTCGAGCCACTTGTGTGATCCCCCTAGCTCAGTAGCAGCTTTAATGATTGGATCAGTCACACTTTCTTTCCAAGAATTATTTGATGGGAATTCTTTTGTCTCGGTTTCATCAGATACTAATGGCACAGAGGAAGGAGAGGGCTGTGCACCTTGAACTGTTATCAGCCCCTTTGCCATCTCAGTCTTTCTGACAAACACAGACAGAAGCCTATACAAAACATTTTTAAGGGGATTTTTATTTATTTATTTGCAAAATCACACTAGTCTGGTTGGCCAAACACAAAAAAAAAACAACAACAACAACAACACTCAAATGAGATATTGGGGAACTATTAACACATTAAACGCAAAGTACAAAAAAATACATAAAATTAATTTCTTAGTGGTTGATAATCAACTCACCTTCACGCCTCGAGGCCCAGGATAACCAATAGGTCCTTGAGGGCCAGGAGGGCCCTAGAGAGACAAATATTTAATAAGAGTTTGCAGCACGTAGTTTTTAACAATCCAAGCATGCACACACACACACACACGCACACATTTTGCTAATCTTATCTTCGTGAATGCAAACACATTTTATGCAAATGTTTCTGAACAAGGACAACAGGAGGGGAAACGAAAAAGCGAGAAAAGCGTAAATAAAGGAAGGAAGAAATGAAAGCTAGCTCATGGGAAGCAAATGTAATAAAACTCACCATGTGGCCTTTCTCTCCAGAAGGCCCCTCTTTTCCAGGGTGACCCTGTGAATTATTAAGAGCAATATTATGGCATTTCATTTGAGGATAATTACTACCATAAATACCACAAGGCCCCTTAAACAGAGAAATTAGGTTATTAAAACTGTTGGAGGGACGTATCAAAGTGGAAAACTGCAAAAAAAAAAAAAAAAATAGAGCCATTGCAGTCTAATTGCATTTGAGATTTGTATTAAAGAGGCCCTACTAGCTATCACTGAGCTCAAAAAGCACAGACTGTCATTTTCTTAATTTTGTACAAGCAATATAGCAAACAGCTTCGTGCATGTATGACACAAAACTCCACCTCATCAAAAAAACGCGCACATCCACACACATGCATGGATGCTCATCTGAAAGGACTAAGAGGAAAATGATTGCATTCTCATTAACAAAAGGAGCTGTGCAAACCCTCTGATGGGCTATTAGTGATATGAGGATGGAGAGAGAAACAGATACACGAGAAGAGGCAGAAAGGGAGCACTAAGGTTGGGAATATTGTGCTTTTTTTATATGCAACAAAACAGATTTAACAGGAACAGCCTGGCTGTGTAACTCAGGGAGAGCTACCCTCAAAAGAAATTATTAAAAGGCTGAGAGATATTGTGTGTCGTGGGGCTCTACTTTATCTCCTTTTTCTGTTTTGCTTTTTTTTTTAAATCTTTTTCTTGCCCTGTAGTTATTCAAATCTTGGCCCTATCTCTCTTAGGTGCCACCTGGTACCTTCCAAGAAACATCTGCCATTATAGCAGGTGTACTGTCTGTGCAGGGACGTCAGAGGGACTGTTTGCCTATATAAAGTGCGTCTGTTGTGATGTGTTTTATCCTGTGAAGCAAAAGGCTGTATAAAATAAAATTAGAGATATGGCTTTAAAAATGTGAGTTCTCACAGCTACCTATAAAAAACTCTTTATAAACAGACAGAGGGGAGGAAAAAGATAAAATACGGCTCTTTGGAAACGTGGCCTAAAAACTCACCGGAGGGCCATCAGCTCCTGGCATTCCTGGCAAGCCTGGCTTTCCGGTCGGGCCCTGGGTAGATGATAGAAGGTCAGAGTAAACATGACAAGATAACAAGAGCACACGGAGCCATCACAGGATATAGATGTCTATCGGTATAACAACAACGTGAGGTTTAGCTGATATAACACTGACTATTGTTACATAATCCATTCAAATGCTGGCGAGACATATCCCAGAAGCCCACACATGACACCAGAACCCAGGGGATCACAAAATCCTGTAGGTGTCATCCTTTGGTGATGATGAGTGTGCGTAAAATTTCATTTATTGTCATTATAATTCTTTTAACCTCAGTGGCCAAAAGACAAACAGTAGGATTCTTAGACAAGCAAAGGTACAGACACATAAAATGAATCATGACGATAATAGGATGCAGATTTCTTTTCTCTTTGTTATGCTCATTAGCTCTAGTCCCAAAAATTATTTACATGGTGTTTTGGGGTGGCAAAGTCTTGCATATGTATTGAATGTGTTGTATTAAATTCAAGCTCTTAAGACAAAGATCTACGATTTAAGTCTACTGTTTCGCTTTATTACACTTAGCAAATATCATGATGGCTTTAATGTCTTTTAAAATCAGGGCACACGCGGTACCTACATTACCAAATCCCAAATGCTCAATAATAAAGTGAGTGTGCTCCATATAAGTTAGCCAATGTAATTTAGCTGAAATGAAATTAAAATGTATCAGGATTCTAATCTGTCTGTACCGTCTACAAGGCAACATTTAGTCCTGCATTGGGGATGAGGAGGCATTTGCATAATTGTGTGATAAGCATTTCTGAATAAGATAGCAACTTGGCTTTCCGCTCATGAAAATGAATGCGACCAGCTATTTTATACATTCTGATTCTTTTTGTTTTTAAAGCATCTTAGAGTTTTTTTTAGTGGAGTTACAGGATTTTAGAGCCACGTGGTATGTTACCTTCTCTCCTGGAGGTCCAATGGGTCCTTGAGGCCCTGCAAGTCCCTGTGGGGAGGATACAGAAATGATCAGCAAGCTTTCATTTCACACTTCCGAGAAAGAAAGATCTAAATTCACACTACATTTTCATCACTCACCTGGGCTCCTGGGTTGCCTTGCTGTCCGGGAGGTCCTGGCTCTCCTTGGGGTCCCTGAAAAAGAAAAATTGTCTTAGAAATCTCCCCATGTAGAAAAGACTGAATAATTTATTGATTTTCAACCAGGCTGTGTGAATGTGAAACTGATTTGGTGACCAGCATTGTCCAACAAAGGGGAAAATTTCCTCTGAAAAAATATAAATGAGAAGCAGTAGCACACTTCTGCATGATTACCTCATAACAACACAATAAGCCACAACTTTTGGACTGATGGAGTAGCATCTTTCCACGGCTCGAGGTAAGAGACACACACACGCGTACACAGTGCACATTACCGCAACTACTTTCCTAATGAAAGAAACTGCTGAGGCACAAACACAACAACACCTTTCCCAATGAGATAACTGGCAATCAATTATATTTCCTCAGGCCAAGAGTCGGGGAACGCTCCTGGTCTTTCATCTCTACCTCGTTGGATCGTTCCCAACAGAACAAAGGAGCTGCTTCAGTTAGGCATTCTCTCATTACAGCCGGGCGCTGCCTGAAATTGAGCTGGAATGGTACAAGCGGCCGAGGTGGACTGCTCAAATAGACCTAAACACAGGCAGCCTATTCTTCATTATGTCTTAATGTCTGATTGAACTGGTGTGTGTGTGCTTGTGTGTGTTTGCCCATGAGTGCATATCATGGGCTTTTTTGAGGGTGAAATTAAGCAAACGTTGATTGAAATTGAAATTGTGCGTGTTGGTTTATCTGAGAGTTTGCACATATAGGCAATTTAGTTCATTCCAGCTTCACTTACTATGTTTCCCTTGGGTCCAGGGTGGCCATCCATTCCAGTAACGCCCTACAGCAGGTGACAAAAGAACATTAAGAACAAAAAATGAAAAGGGAAAGGCAGCAAATCTATAAAAGACTAAAATGGACAGAATCGACTGTGTGAATGAATTTTAAAGTCTGATATATTTGAATCGCTAACTCCTACAGAGAGATATCAGTTTCAAAAATGTGCAGTGTCCACGTTAAATTAAATCCGCTGGAACAAATTAGATTGAAGCCTCGCTGCACTGTAGACATCTATCAGAGAAGCTGAAGTTAAACTCAATAACATATGCTACTCTTTTGTATATTGTGTCTGAGAGATATTGAGTTTTGTATTTCCCCGTGGTTGTTGTTTGCCCTTCCCTTTTCTCTCGCTGCTTATGAGATGCTAAAAAATTGATTCCGCTCTCTAAACTGTTGCTGGATATGAAAAGTTGCGAAGTTGAAGGAGAGGTGAGAGCGTTGGGTGGGGGGTGGGCACTCACAGGTGGTCCAGGAGGTCCCTGAGGTCCTTTTGGTCCCAGCAAACCCCGAGGCCCCTGTGGTAAAAATGAAGGGAAATGAGATTGAGAGTGATATCACACCTGTGAAAAAGGACTGATGCATTATTAAACACGTTCAGCTAAATCAAGTTTCAAAATTATACTGCTGGAAATAACCTCACTTTCCAAATGTCCTTGAGGATTTTCTACAGAGTGAGATGTGAGGGAAAGCTGAAGCCCACTCTCCTTTTTTTCCTTCTTTCTTTCTCTCTCTCTTTTTTTACTACTCTTGCATTTCCCTCAGCCGTACCCATGAAACAGTGCTGTGATTTTCTTTCTGTGTGCCATGCCTCACAGCTACAGTTACCCAAGTAGATGGATTGTCCTGACTGTGTGAATTCAAACCAATGTAGCGCACCCTGGTGGATAAAAAGATCATAACATGCAATATCAAGGGCTTTCTGATGGTTGCTCCTTTTCCTGTCTTTTCCACCCTCCGCAGGGAGTATCCTGCATGGGTGAGGCGGGGTGTGGGAGGCTATTAAAAGAAGCTTGATGTGTTCTGCTTGCTTTTCTCACCACTAGAGATTCCCCTGTACACATGAGTTCTGATCAACATTCACTTTGCACCACAATAGCACAAAAAAATAAAAAATTCCAAGTCTATATGACTATGAACATGTGATATATCATACCAGCCGACAGTATGATTGTTCAGTAACACAATAACATGATGACAGCAGGCCTGCAGCTCTTATACATTTCCCTGAGTGTAAGACTGAATGGTAATATATGTGATCACTCACTGGTTCACCAGGAAGTCCCCTGGGTCCGATCTCTCCATCATCTCCCTGGGAAAGAAAAGAGCAGGTCAGGCTGTGGAACAGACAGTGAATTATAATGGAGGAGAAAGTGAGGATGTGCAAGTGTGTGTGTGTGTGTGTAATGTGAAAACATAATGAAGAAACAGAGGAAGTGGGGGATCAAGTTGCATCAGTTGTGTTTAATGGAGAAGGTGAGGGAAATTGGGAAAAGGTATTTTTGCAAAAAGAAAAAACTGAACGTATTATAAGGAACGAAATCGACGAGAAGGAGAAAGTAGGAAGAGAAAGTGGAAGTTCAATTCAAATGATGACAAAACAGTGTGTTTGGGAAGAATCCTGCAAAGAAGTCATTTGTGCAAGAGCAGAACAAATTCAGATAGTGCGACTTCGTGTGCACAGCACTTGAGGTTGATAAGAAAATGAAGGGGCAGGAGTGAAATTCTTTTCTTTTTTTTGTTTTACCCTCTCTCCATCCTCTCCAGGACCACCCGGAGGTCCATGGGGGCCGGGTTCACCCTGTGAAAACAAATATGAACATGTTTAACTGTTGTCCAAATTCCAACAGGCACACACCTCTCAGGTTAAAGGTTAAAATGCTTACTCTGTGTCCTTTTTCACCAGGAAGTCCAGCCAGACCATCAAATCCTCTGTCTCCCTTAAAAGCGGGGAAAAAAGAACATTTAATGATATAGATCACCACCTCAGCTTAAAAATTAACTTCAAAAAATCTTTTTGTCAAAAGTGGCACATTTAAGTGCATCGTGAATGGAAAAGACGACATACCTTTGGTCCAGTCTGTCCTGGCATGCCCCTGGCACCATCAGCTCCAGAGCGACCCTGTAAAAGCAACAGCACATGTTCTACCTCCAGATCAAGACAATCACAGAGCATTTACTATTTGCAATCGCAAACAAACACTGTGAAGTGCATAAAAACTATCATGCTTAGTCTTAATATTACTTCTCTGCTGCTGAATAGCTTGGTTGACAACTTACTCGTCTACCAGACTTTCCAGGAGGTCCAGGTGTTCCCAAAGGTCCACGTGGTCCCTAAAACAAAGGTGCTGTAAATCACTGAGCCATCTTTTTCATTTCCAATCTATCCACCTAAATTAGGCTTTTCAGCTGATTTGCTAGTAACGGAATATTACAAAGGCTCAGCATTAGTGAACACATTTCCACATTTGCTTAGACTGATATGATCAGAAACAGATCCTGAAAACAGAATGTAGCATGGTGATTTCTAGTACCTGAGGTCCTGCCTCTCCAGACTCCCCCTTCAGTCCTGGTACACCAGGAGGACCCTTAAAAAGAAAAATACTGACTAAAAATTCATATAACAATTGAGCAAGACCATCCTGTGTGCCACAGAATCTGCAGATCAGAGTATTTGTGCTTCAGTGTTTTTGCTGGGAGGTGATTTGCCATACATACCAGCGGTCCAGGTCTGCCAGTCAAACCCATTGGCCCTGTAGGACCGCGCATAGCCAGCTGACCAAAGACAGGAGAAATAACATAAAAATGAAACCAAATGAAACATATGGAAAAGAAGGAAAGAGGACAATTTAGCTCATGTGTGAATAGAACTGCAGCAGATTTAGCAATTCATATTTGTCTCTGCTGTATACTGTGTCTATACTTGTGCTCTGCATGTTAATGTTAAACTTAATTCACAAAATGCAGCATCTATTAATAATAAATGAGGAAGAACATTGTAGGAAATGTGGCACAAACACAGTAAAAGTCATGTGATAAGCAGTAACAAAATGTTAAAAACGAAACAAAAATTTAAAAAAATATGACATTTGAGGAGAAGTGAGGGAAAAAAGTTAAAAGTATAGAATGAAATCATCTGAAATAAGATATTTTCCACATGAGAATCTTATAGTTTGCAGAGTTTAGCAACAAAGAGCAGTAAAAATAGCAGAAATGTGAAGGTGTAAACTGTTACCCTAGCCTGCTGCATGATGGCTTGCATCTGGGCCTCCTGTGCTGATACAGCAGGTCCCTTCTGCCCAGAGTCACCTCCGGCGCTGAGTCTGAACTATGGAAGGAATGATAGCTTGGTGAGACTTCAGTCCCATAAAAAGGAATACACAAGAAACAAAAAAATGAGAGCCAAGAGAAGCATGTGTAAGGACTAAAGTGCTGGCCTGTGGCAAAATTAATCTTTTAAGTTTATACAGCCACACACTGTTACCAACAATAGCTCTAATATTTCTTTAATACAGTCTGTCCATTTAATTAAGAAAAACAACAACAAAAACAACAACAACAACTATGCTACAGCCTCCAGCTGTCAAATCAGCTCCATCCATGGCTGCTTGCAGGCCATAATGTTCACATTCGACTGCCATCTGGTGGTGATAAGCCAGAATTACACCCTAACATGAATATTCATGCCTATAGTGCAACTCTTGACTTTGTTTGGGCCAGACATCTTGGTTTGGATTACACGGCACAGTCCTCAGGAGACTGACTGTCAGTTGTGCTGCAGATGCAGAGGCAACACAGCAGTGAAATGCTGTGCAGGATTTCAAAGTCACAGAGAGGGTTGTTGCCACGAAGCAAAATACAAACCGTTGATCTAGAACATCAGGGATGAGTCAGATGTACTGCAGCTGAATAAAAACAATATTTTTTCATATTTTCCCCACAAATCCCGCAGTTTTTCTTCGTCCACTTGATTCTATCTCTGCCATGCAAACGAGATGTTCTGATTTATCAAGAAATGGCTAAAAAAAAAAGAGAAGCTGCTTCACCAGTGTCTAGATTTGCCACCTAACCCTGCCGTGCTGCTCATGTTGACTCCATCATTTCAAGACAGAACGTCTTGAAATGATGAGAAGGCGTGTTTCTCATTAGACTTGGAGCTCAAGGATCGCCGGCTTTCTGCCAGCAGATACACCAGAACACCTTGTCCAGACAGAGTTTGCCACATGACTCCGCCAGACAGTTTTTGAGGAATCCTGAAACCACAACTCTGTATCTGCACAACTAATCAGTTACAACCGCAGCAGCAGCATTTTCCCAGCACCTAATAAAGAAAGCGGAGGAGGTAGACATCACAGGAAGCTATTAGGATGTCTGAGCAACTGTTGCGGTCAAGTCTGACATAGAAAAAAAAAAGATGCTCGGTAGCATTAACTTTGCTGACTTGGCTAGGATTTGTGCAGCTTAAAGCAGCTGACATTACAGCTGTTATTTAAGAATCTCACTCAACATGTTGAAGCACATATTTATGCAACAAAACGCTCGTTAGTAGGGCTGAGTATCGTCACTGATTTCTAGAATCGATTCGATTCCGATTCACAAGGTCCCGAAACGATTCGATCCACGATTCGATTCAATTCGATTTGTATCTGGGAAATTTTGCCTCAGACAGTCAGAAATATTCTAATTCAGATCAGAACATTTACATATTTTTGTATCTATAAAAAGGAAGCTGAAACTCGCAAGACTTTATCAAAGGTGTGAGCATCACAGCAGATGCTTCTGTGTCAAAGTAGCTGAAGATAAAACACAGAAAAACATGAAGGTGATTTTTCCTGGCCTGGGATTTTATAAAAATATTCTGCAGTACATCAAAAACGAAAGAAGAACATTAATCAACACATGAACATGGCCTCTGAAGTTACAGCGGTTTTATTAGAGACACAGCTGAGCGTTTTGCATTTTGCATCATTTTAAAAAGTTTACATTTGTTCAGAAGCCCATTGAACAACAGAAATGAGGTTTTCTTTTCGGAAGTAAGTGAAAGGAAAAAAACAGCGGCCAACAGCGCTGTAAACAACGGTAGACTTGTGCGTAACAAGCAAGCGAATAATGCAGAAAACAGATTTTTAGACGGGAAACTGTTCTTGAAGTACAGAGAGAGAGAGAGAGAGAGCTGTGCATGAAGTGTGGTGGAAGCAAAACAGCAAAAGTCAGAGGGAATTCATGACGATGTTTATGTGAAGCGTAGTTTGGATCTTCTCTTGCTGCTGGTTCGGTCAATATTGTTTGGAGAGAGATCAAACTAACAGCTTTAGAATCAGCGCAAAAAGGGCGTGAACACAAAGCGCGGACCCGCCGAAACATCAGAATCAGCGAGCTGCCGGCTTTCAGCCCCGACCGTGTCCGTGCCGTCGGGTGAGAAAGGCGACATCTCACTGATTCTTATCCGAGGGTCTGCGCTTTGTGTTTACATTTATGTGCAGAATCTGTGTTCCTGCTCTCATTCACTGTTTTAGCTGTTTGGTGGTTGTTGAAATTTTGTGAGGTTTCACCAGAGATTCTGGCGTTTCGGGCAAAATAAATTTATATTAAAAAAATCGATTCAGGATTTTAATGAATCGATATCACGTTATCCAAGCCAGAATCGATTTTAATCAATAAATCAAAACCCACCCCTACTCGTAAGGGTTAAGCTCATCATAAATGGCTTGATGGGAAACCCCCTTTATTCCACTTCATTGTATAAGTTATCGCTAAAACACGGTGTCAATAATAACAATTGGTCTTAAAGGAGGTTAAACAAGGATTAAAGCACTAAGTTAGAATTTCTGACTTTGGAAGAAGAAGAAGAATAATTGTATTTTACTTACAGGCAGCATCAGGACAGTTCCAGGAGGTCCTGGCAGGCCATCAGCACCAGGAAGACCAGGACGACCTGGAAGACCCTTAGATGGGAAATTACAAACACAAGTGAGTGTTTTATTATTTGTATTTGTAAACCTCTGGTGATGTTTAGGACATTAAAGAAAAAAAAAACAACCCTTACCCTCTCTCCAGAATCTCCAGGACTGCCTGGTGGGCCGGAAGCACCTGGGGGTCCAGGGAGACCCTATTTTAAACAGAAAACCTCATTTAACTTCTATATATACACACAATACAATACAAGGTTTTGCCTTCATCTTGCAAAATGGTCACATACAGCAGAACGGAATGTGCATGTGGCAATATTTTATAAGAGAGGCTGTGAAGCTGTAAATCTTTGTGGGGTATTCTTATTTGTTTATATTGTAGTGCAATGCTTCAGTGGCTGGACTCCATCTGCAGGGTGTCAAAGCAAATCTGTATTAAAGGAATCTTCCTAAATAAATGACGACGTTCCTTCGACATCTAATCAAGTCCAAAAACCGCTTTGGGGGAACTGCTCTGGCCACTCCTTTTTGCATCGGGAGCCAGCAAAGCATTAAAACTCAAATTTTCTGGTAGTGCAGACAAACAATGAATGCGTGAAAGGAAGCTCTATTGGCTTTTCTTTACCAAGCGGCTGCCAAGAAAAACGGCAGCGATTACGATGCGAGGGGGGGGGGGGGGGGAAAACGCAGGAAGTTAAGAGACAGGAAGATTGACTTACTGTTGGCCCTTCAGGCCCAGCCGGACCTTCCACTAACATTCCCTGAAACACACAAGCACAAATCATTAGGCCTCATTCATAAGCACGTGGCTGCAAACAACACTGTCACACTTGAGTACAATACACAGGAAAACGTTCACTTGTAAACTTGTCCCTTCATCATGTTCCCATCTTTGCTGACTCATGTGCATGCATGCCTGTCACTGGCAGCTGTGTTTGCAGTCGATCCACAGAGAACGAGAGAGTGGCTGCAAACAACAGGCAAAGCCATCCTGAGGTGCTTCCCCTACCCGGACAAGTTCAGTTAAGGGCTAATCAGATCAGTGGGGATGTTAAACTTATTCACACATGCAAACTGAAACATAAAGCCAGTTTAGCCATGCCTATGAACATTTTGGAATTAGTTCAGTCTAAGTGTAGGGTTAGTGTTTGAGTTAGGGCCTGATCAGTAACACTGCAAAGGCAATAATAGCAGTTCATCTCATTTCAATGTCTCAAAGACTCAAGGATCTGACTTAACAGATGCATCAGTGCAGCTCTACAGCTACATAAATACCACATTGTTTGCTCTTGTGGCAGCAATTTGGCTTTTTGTTTTCTGAGATTAAAATTCTGCCCACTCTCCAAAGTTCAAGCTGCCTTCAGAGCATTTTTATTTTAAACACTTCCTTTAGACTTGTTTTTTTTTCTTCTTCAATCCCTGCAGTTATTCCTGTGTGTCACCTGCATTGTGGCTACTGATTGAGGGGCTGGGTCTGTACATGTATATATTTTTCATTGAAGTTAGCACTTCATAATACAGCCCACACTTGTACTTGTAGCATAATTTCTGTCAAAATTCCTGCAAAATATCCAGACGTTGTGCTACTTAAAATTACTTACTGACCAAATAAATGTATTTACAGAAGCGTCTTTCCTGTAAAAATCTGACTTGTTAGGTCTGTCATGGTCCTGGGCCATGTGGGCCCAGTATTCTCAGTTCCTTGTATTTTTGTATTTCGTTCCTTATTTAGGTCATGTTTCCTGAGTTGTCCTGTTATGTTGTTCCTTATTTGACT